AAGCTGACGAGACATTGAACCACATCATTCTGTAGTTTAGCTAGATCAGTTGGATCAATTGCCTTCTGAGAAATTGCATTGAGGAATGCACATAGCTTCACGGTGGCTAGACGTACATTTGGAGGTAGAATTCCTCTTAATGCAACTGGAAGTAATTGCGTCATGAGAACGTGACAGTCATGGGACTTTAAGTTATAGAATTTCTTCTCTGGCACATTTATAATACCCTTTATATTCGAGGAGAATTCAGATGGCACCTTGATGTTGTTTAAGCATTCAAACATGATTTCCTTCTCCTCTTTGCTTAGAGTGTAGCTAGCAGAACGTAAGTAATGGCGTCCATCATCTGTCTTCTCTGGATGCAGGTTGTCTCTTTCTCTCAAACAACGTAGGTCCTGTCGTGCTTCAAATGTGTCCTTAGGCTTTCCATACACACCCATAAAGCCTAGCAGGTTCACACAAAGATTCTTCGTCAGGTGCATCACGTCGATCGAGCTGCGGACCTCTAGGACTTGCCAATAGGGTAGGTCCCAAAATATGGACTTCTTCTTCCACATGGGTGCATGACCGTTAGCGTCGTTCGGAACAGGTTGGCTTCCATGTCCTTTTCCAAAGACGACTTTCACATCATTGACCATATCGAGTACATCCTCACCGGTTCGGTTGCGAGGCTTGGTCAGGTGGTCTGCCTTCCCTTTAAAATGCTTGCCTTTCTTTCTTACGGGGTGATTTGCAGGAAGAAATCGACGATGGCCAAGGTACACGATCTTTCGACATTTTTTCAAAAATACACCTCTAATATCACCGAAGCAGTGTGTGCATGCATTATATCCCTTATTTGACTGTCCTGAAAGATTACTTAGAGCAGGCCAATCATTAATTGTTACGAACAACAATGCTCGCAGATCAAAGTGTTCCTGTTTGTACTCATCCCACACATGTACACCTTCTTTATTCCACAAAATGAGAAGTTCATCAATAAGTGGTCTCAGGTACACATCGATGTCATTGCCAGGTTGCTTCGGGCCTTGGATGAGCACAGGCATCATAATGAACTTCCGCTTCTTGCATAACCAAGGAGGAATGTTGTAGATACTTAGAGTAACAGGCCAAGTGCTATGACTAATGTTCTGCTCTCCAAAAGGATTGATACCATCTGTACTTAAAGCAAACCTTAAGTTTCTTGCATCATTTGCAAACTCCGGGAATTCTCTGTCGATTGCTCTCCACTGGGACCCATCAGCAGGGTGTCTCAACATATTGTCTACCTTACGGTCTTCTTTGTGCCATCGCAATAATTTTGCATGTTCTTTGTTTCTGAACAGACGTTTCAAGCGTGGTATTATAGGAGCATACCACATAACCTTGGTAGGGATTTTCTTCCGCGGATGTTTGCCCTCAACATCACTAGGGTCATCTCGCCTGATCTTATACCACGACGCATGGCATACCGGGCATGCATCCAATTTCTCGTACTCTTTGCCACGGTACATGATGCAGTCATTAGGACATGCATGTATCTTCTCTATTTCTAGCCCCATAGGACAGACAACTTGTTTTGCTTCGTAGGTAGTGGCGGGCAATTCATTGTCCTTCGGAAGCATATTCTTTTGGATTTTTAGTAACTCTCCAAATCCCTTGTCAGATACACCATTCTTTGTCTTCCATTGCAGCAATTCTAGTGTGGTTTCCAACTTTTTCTGCCCTGCATCATAAGTTGGGTACAACAATTTCTTGTGATCTTCTAGCATCCGCTCGAACTTGATCTTCTCCCTTTCACTTTCACATTCTCTTTGTGCGTCACGAATGACCTGAGAAAGATCATCAGCCGGCTCATCTTCTACGGCTACCTCTTCTTCAGCTTCTCCCATTGCAATATCATTGAAGCACGCACCATCGGGAATAATATCATCGTTGTCCCATTGTTCTTCTTCACCTTCTTCCATTACAACACCGGTTTCTCCGTGCTTTGTCCAACAAATATAGTTTGGCATGAAACCCGACTTGAACAAGTGTGAATGAAGAGTCCTTGAGCAAGGATATTCCACCGTATTCTTACATATGGCACATGGGCAGCACATGAAACCGTCGCGTTTGTTTGCCTCGGCCGCACGTAACAAAGAATGCACGCCGTCAATGAACTCTTGGAAGCGGCGATCAGCATTATACATCCAATGATGGCTCATCTGCATTACATGACATAAATACCATATTAAAACCTAGATCATAATTAATTATTTATACAACATGCGTGCCACCACAAAAGATATAAATTTATGAAAGCATCGCTACAATGTAGACAATCCCAACTACCACTAAAAGAACTAAAGCTAAAATACATTTCAGTAGCACTAGGATTTCACGACCAATCTCAACTAAAACAGACAGATCCCCCGATTGTGCAACATCTTTGGGCTTCTTCGGCTGGATCACTGCCTCATTAGCCGCCAGATTCGCTTTTGTTGTGCAAGATATTTTTGCATGAGTTCAACATACTCTTCCTCCCAGTAGAAGCCTGAACATCGTCCACTGCCATCCCACTGAAATTAAAACAAAAAATTAGAACTTTAATCACAACCATCATGAAAATAGGTATAAACTAACCATAATCATTAAATATGATAAAATAACTCACATTGCGATCCGAACACTTGTAGAAGATACGATCCTTGTTGGGACCCTCCTTCACTCGGTACTCCATCACAATCTTCGTCTCATCACGACACTTGCCGCATGGAATGAGAGGGAGGCCGGCCTAAGTCGCTTTGGAAACCCCATGAGAGCCGAGGACCCAAGGAAAGCGTTGCCATCTACTCTCTATACTCATTTTTAATACACTATAAATTTCTCCTTTTATAAACAAATAAAATTAAGAAACTATAAAATTATCTAGATCTCTAAACAATGATATTTTTAATGGTTATTGTGTTCTCGTCTTTTATTTGCGGAAGTAAGCAATTCACATGATATTTCCGCAAATTAACGAGAAGAATGGGAGTGTACACACATAACAGATCATGCGATGATATCGGGACGTGTGAATAAAATAACCATCCGTGACTAGTTGACCTTGCTTACGTGATCATCTCAGCGAGCATTTCTCCACCGGACGGCACCGTACTTGGCCATGGAAGAGCTCTAATTCTACGAGGAAGGGAACACGGTCTTCCACGACCGTTGCCGCTCTCCCTCGTAGAATCAAAGCTCCTCCTTGACATCCGTTACCGCTCGGCAGAGAACATGCTCGCCGAGATGAACACGGTCCGCAAGTTCAACTAGTACGGATTTTCTATAATTTTCTAACTATTTTCTAAGTTTATATTTATATATATACTACGTTTGGGTACGGTGATTGACAGACTTCTGCGACGATATCAGGACATGTGAATAAATAACCATCCGTACTAGTTGACCTTGCTTACGGCGAGCATTTCTCCACCGGACGGCACCGTACTTGGTCAAGGAAGAGCTCCGATTCTACGAGGAAGGGAACACGGTCTTCCACGACCGTTGCCGCTCTCCCTCGTAGAATCAAAGCTCCTCCTTGACGTCCGTTACCGCTCGGCAGAGAACATGCTCGCCGAGATGAACACGGTCCGCAAGTTCAACTAGTACGGATTTTCTATAATTTTCTAACTATTTTCTAAGTTTATATTTATATATATACTACGTTTGGGTACGGTGATTGATGCATCACTACGCGACGATATCGGGACATATGAATAAATAACCATTCGTACTAGTTGAACTTGCTTACGTGATCATCTCGGCGAAGCATTTCTCCACCGGACGGCACCGTGATTTGGGCCACGGAAGAGCTCCGATTCTACGAGGGAAGGAACACGGTCTTCCACGACCGTTGCCGCTCTCCCTCGTAGAATCAAAGCTCCTCCTTGACGTCCGTTACCGCTCGGCAGAGAACATGCTCGCCGAGATGAACACGGTCCGCAAGTTCAACTAGCTACTTTAACCTTCTTTCATGTAAATATGCAAGCTTGAAGTGATTTTGAGCTCAAATTGCTTACAAATGAAAAAAAACCACAATAAAGAACCATATATATATATAGTGAACAAAATGAGATAAGACAATGGTGAAAAATGAGAGTATGAGATTGGTAACCTTTACAACTGAAGAATCGACGGAGGAATCAAAGAAATCGACGGAGGAATCGAAGAATGGATGGAGGAACAATGGAGGGAGGGAGGAAGCAAGAACACTAGTGCAGTGAGCTTCAAAATGTGCTGAGCTCGGGCTCGGGGAGGAAGAAGGAGACGGCCGGGATATAAAGGGGGGACCTTTAGTCCCGGTTGGTGGCTCCAACCGGGACTAAAAGTAACTTTCCAACCCCGGGCGCAGCCACGGCCCGGGAGTAGACCTTTACTCCTGGTTGGAGCCACCAACCGGGAGTAAAAGATATTTAGTCTCGGTTGGTGGCTCCAACCGGGACTAAAGGTCCCCCACCACTGTCTCGGGCTTGATAGAGTTAAGAGGGACCTTTAGTCCCGGTTAGAGCCACCAACCGGGACTAAAGATATTTCTAGTTCCGGGCGCAAAAAATTCCGGGACTAGAGCCCATTTTGACCGAGGATCAAAGGTCTGTTCTCTACTAGTGATCATCTTCCCATCAAGACTCCCACTCCCCCCAAACAAATAGAAGATTCTAAACTTCTACCTCTGAACTCACGTTCCCTCCTTTCAATTACCTCCAACCAAATTTGATGTCAGGACACGAAACCTTGAGTGTTCCTTCTTTTCTCTTTTTATTTATTTTCACCAGACGAAAACCTTGAGCGTTTCCTCCTATTCTTTTTTATTTATATTGTTACCAGCAGTGGTATATGTGTGATACTCCGTAGGTAGAATACTACACTACGTATACATTTATATCCTACAAATTGCAGCCAAACCATCAAAATTGCTAATTCACTTCTCCTAACCAGGAACAGAATAATAATAACAACATAAAGCTACTCCTACCATGTACCTCTTGGCATACACTCTACAGTTGCGCCTCTAGGTCCCTCTCCCCATCGTCTACCGGCCCTTCCTGTGCTGTCCACGGCATCGACGTGGACGCCCGCGACGGGTCGCCTTCTTGGTCCTTCCCATCACAACCCTCGTCAGACGATGTGACGTCCACCTCGGCGCGGCAGACCGGGCATGTCGAACGCTCCCTTAGCCACACGTCGACGCAGCCCCGGTGGAAGACGTGCATGCATGAGGGCAGCCGCCGCGCTGCGTCCCCGTCCGCCATTACGCCCAGGCATACGGCACACTCAACCTCCCGCTCCTCCTCCCCGTCGGCATCCTCCTTCTGGAACACGAACTCCGGCAGTGCGGCGATGGCATCGGCATCCAGTCCCTTGTGCTGTTTCTTTTCCAGTTCCGCCGTGGCGGTAGCCTCGGCAGCGCCCCGGCTCGCGAACCGCCGCACGAGGTACCACCGGATGGCGCACAAGATGAGCAGAATGACGAGGAGGGAACCGAAGCTGATGCCGAGGACGGTGATGTAGGAGGTTGTGGTGCAGCAAGTGAGCATCATGACGCGAGGAGTAGGGCGCACCGACAGAGGCCGAGATCGTGAAGCAGGACTGGTCTGCGGGGAGGCAGCTCGCAGCACCTGGGGCCAGGACCGCCGTGCCCGGTGACGAAGGCAAAGAAGACGGCAACAACGAGGGCGGTTGCCGTGATGGCATTGCGGCGGGCACGCGTGGGGTCAATAGAAGGAGGCGGTGCATGCGGGCGCATTGGGAGCTTTTGAAGGTGTTGGTTGCATGCCATGGCTCGGTAGTGTAGGTGGTGCGAGGGAAGTGCGGGCAAGAGGCAAGGCTCTTGGGGTGGGGAGGGAAGATACATTGACCGCCACGGCAAACCCATGTGACAAGAATAGAATAGGTTGGTTCTGTAGAGTACCTACTACTGGTCTCTTTCTTTCTCTAATTTGTATAATTTATTTTGGTTTGGTTATTGGTTTATTATTTCTCTGCTTTCTTTTTTTTGGTTCGGCTATTGGTTTAATTTTACTTATTACAAGTGTTCATCTAGGCTCTCGCATTTAGCAGCATCTAGGGGTTGTTTGGATCATGGCCTACCAGGCATGCCTGACCTAGGCCAGCAATCCTGACATTCAGATGTCTAAAATCGGATGCCTGGAAGCTATGCCTGGCCATCCCCAAGCAGCAGTCAAACATGGCTTTAAAACATAAAATAATGATTTTCTATATGCTCAGGATAAATTCCTGATTCCGCCGCCCACTCATTCGTCCTACACGTGTCCCTAACAAATCCATGCAGAGAAAACTGTAAACGTCACGAAATTTTACAATAGGTATCAAAGAAAAAAGGGTTCACAGTCACAGCATCACTAAAGCAGTGGCCATAATATACACATGCTTCTTACTTCTTACACGTTCTTTATATTTCGTATAATAAAAATGATGCTCAAAATTACTGCTAGCCTTCACAAAGGAGTACAGCTGCAAGAGATAGGAAGTTAATCCAGGCAATGTAATCCAAGATTAGAATCTAGAACTACCTGAGTAAGTTACACAGCCACAAGTGCATGCAAAAGAAAATGACAAGCACGCAACACTGACTATCACCATAAATTTCACAAGGAATCCAGGAAGGCAACTATAGTAAGCACATGATTTGTATGGCAAAAATGTCATGTACTCCTACAAATAGCAATGAACTATCTAAAAAGCAATGCAAAAAATCACAGTAAGAATGCCATTGAACTAAGCTGATAGAAAACACACCATTGCCATTCCAGATCCATGACCATGAGGGAGCAGTATCTGAAAAGCACAACCTCAATTGTCATAGCATCCCAACTGCATACTAAACCATCCATTGAACAGGGCCGATGGTAATAAAACTGCTACCAGATAAATTAACAGAGGGAACCACGATTATCGGAGCCATCGATCTAGTGTGTGGATCTTGTCAGGGGCTAGAAACCGATTAGAAAAGAAAAGATAGACTAGATCCGTTCGGATCTAGACAGAGAACGAAGAACCGCGTGGGGAAGATGAACGGTTTTTAAATCGGAAGAAGTAGAAACCCTAATCCTAGCAAATAATAGAGAGAAAGGGGAGGGGTACCCATAACCCTAACCCTAACAGAAGGGAAAAGAAATGGACGGCGGTTGGGGGGAAGTCTTACCAGGGCTTCCCCGCCGCCGTCACTACCGCCTCACGTGGGATGGAGTACCCACCGCCGGCTTGCTGACGCGCGGGAAGAGAATCAAAAAGAACAGCAAAGAAAAGAACGGATTAGATCCTTCGGATCTGAGCAGACAGAAGGGGTTCCTTAACCCTAACCCTAACTGGGTGAAGATAGAAGGGGCTCGGCCTCAAGATCGCTTGATCCGAACCCTAAACCCGTGACTCAAACTAGGGGAAGAAGAATAGGAACTGAAACCCTAACCCTAGATCCAATCCACATCCCCAAATCGGTCAAAACCGAGAAAAGCAAGATCCAAACAAGCAGAAACGCAGAAGGGGAAAAAGAAAAGCAAGGCCGGTGGCTTACCTCACCGCTGCCATCTCCGCCGTCGTGCGGGAAAGACCGGACCGCGCCGGTGTTCGTCGCCGAGGTGCATCCACGCGGGTACGGGTACAGGGCATCGACACGGAGCCGCTTGACGGCGGCGCGCTCTCCTGATGGGGAGCGCGCTCGCCGGCAAGTGGGCCATGATGGGCGCCGTCTTTTCGCGTCTCCTCCGACGCGCTCATTGTCGCCGAGAGATCGCCGCTGCTGAGAGAGAGAGACGCGCGAGAGAGAAAGGGAAAAGAGGAAATGAAGCTAGGGTTTCTGCATCGCGGGCGGCCCGGCGGTTTTGTTCGCCCTAGATGCGCGCTCGGCTCCGTCAGATGTGCACGGACGGCCGAGATTGAGCTTGGCTGCATCATGCTCAGCGGGCCAGCGCCACGGTGTTTTGCCTGCCCAGCCCACGCGTTGCGGCCTGGTGGCGATCAGGCCATGAGGGAGTAAGGCCGGGCTGGGTACCGATTTGGGCCGGGCCATTTTGATTGTTGGGCCATAGCGCAGTAAAAGTTTAAGCCATTTTCTTTTTCTATTTTTTCCAGTGATAAATGGCTCAAAGAAAATTGGAAAAGAGAATTTTCCTGTGGGTAAAATTCAACAATTATGTTCATAGTTCCGCTGCAAAGTTAAAGGTTTATTGTCTTCTAATTTGAAGAGCAGTTATAGTTATTCAGTAAATGATGAAAAGTTTATCCTCCAGTTAAAATTGGAACCAACTAAAAAAAAAATTAATTGGAGGAATAGTCGGTTGATAGTTAAGATAAATTATAATATTGTTATTTTCTGACCAACGTTGATGATAACAATATTATAAGTTTATTTATGAGTTGATAGTGAAAGTTAAATTATGGTATTGTTATTTTCTGACCAATGTTGATGATAACAATATTATAATTTTCTGAGTTTTATGATTAAAGTTTAAATCTCTGATGAATTTTGCATCAAAGTGACCAATTTTCAGAGAATAGATAAAGATCAAGGAATGCTCTTAAACTAGAGAAATGTATTTCATGTTTCCGCTGCAATGAAGTTGATTGTCTTCTAATTAAATTCGAACCAACGGGAGAATTTAATTTTGAGGAGCAGTTATGTGTTTTCAAGATTATTGAATTTCTATACGCTAATTCCATTTCTGCCCAACGGTGATGTGGAATTAATGTAGAAGAATGATGTTTTATTCTATTTCTGCCCAACGGTGATATAGAATAAAACATAAAGATTTCAAAGTTTAATGAGCATTATTGTTGAATATTTTTTAGATAAAAGATTTCCATGCTTTCATTCTTGAAGGCAGTAAGAGAAATGAGTTGTGTACTTGTGACTCAGATGATGAAATGCCTAAGGGCAAGTTATGTATGAAAGAATGTCATTGCTTAAGGGACTGTGTTCTCTTTAAAGAATGGCTTCAAAAGAAAAGAATTCTAGGATATTGATCCAAGAAAAGAGATGGATCAATGAGTCTTCATTGAGAAATGTCTTTTATGTACTCTCTGTGAAGAAGAATTTATTTTCAGTTTCACTTATGAGAGTTGTAAAAGTCATATACATATTTAATTTGACCAACATTGGATTAAACATGTGTGTTAAAAGAATATTCAGATTTATTTCTGAGTTTGATGATTGAACATGAGCCAATCCTGGCAAATATGTCTGTTCAAAGGAATTATCTCTCATGGCGGGAAAAGTTTGTGATAGTACCCGCATGGCGGGAAAGTTTGTGATAGTACCCGCATGGCGGGAAAAGTTTGATGAAATACCCACATGGTGGGGTAAAGTTGGCATAGTACATATGTTAACCAATCCTGCATGGTGGGAGAGTTTGGCATAGTACTTATCCCGCATGGCGGGAGAAAGATATGATGACTCATGTGATCTAAGTGTATCCCGCACATGGAGAGAAGTTTGGGATAGCTCTTATGCTATCCTAGTATTGACCGTACACTCTGATTGTGTCATGGTCATTAAGTACTCAATGAGTTTAAGAACAAAAGAAAGTTGCATGTGAACCAAAAGATAAGAATGATATGCAAGCGTGACTTGTAGAAGTATTGATAATAATAGACTATGTTGAGTTTTGAAGTGTAATGAGGAAAATGTACTCCCATACGAATTTTGTTTGCATGATGTAATCATGTGGATGAAGTAAGTAATCAAAGTTTTCTCATTCACAAGAGTTCTGAATGTTTTTTCGAAATTGTGGTAGAAAAGTTCATACCACATTTTAAGGGGGAGAAATGTGAGATTAATTAAGAAAGACAATTAAGAAAGATACTTCCCCATACTTCAGATAATGCAATGCATACTATGCATTGAAGGTAAAAGTGATTTATAAAAGATGAGTGTGATCGTTGAGGGAGTAAGACGGTCATAATAACGATAAAGATGAGTGTGATTGTTGAGGGAGTAAGACGGTCATAATAACGATACTCCTAAAATAAAGAAATAGCTAAATTTCTGGACCTTTTACAGTTCCGATAGGAAGATAGCATAGTCGGCTAGTATTCATACTGGACGAGTCTCAAAGTTATTAAGGCGGTGCTTAAAGCACCATTCGAGTTTTGAAAGATTAAACCTAAAATAAAAAATTTAAAGATACACCATCTTTAAAGAAGATGGAGTAATCTGGGGGAGCATGGTATGTAGATACCTAAAGCTTGAATAGAAGTGGGATTACATATCCACTACAGTGTTTTAGAGCAACAAATTGCTTAATACATGTTGATGTTGTATGGCATACTTAAAGAAGATGAATAAGTAAACAAGGATCTTATGATACATGAGGCTATAGAACATTTGCCTTTTGGCAATAAAGAGCAACAATAGCCCCATATGAAAGAAGTGCCACGAGGCCCCAGAAGGTCTCAAAGAATAAGAAAGAAATTCAAATGGAGGATAATTCCACCTCATTTGAAAAGCCATGAGAGGCGTTCACTCGTCTAAATGGCAAGAAGCAAAGGAAGATGAAATGAAATCGATAAATACCAATGATGT